TCATACGGTCATATGTCTCGTTATCATTCCCGCTTTCACCTGAAACCGTACTCGAATTGGGATTCTATATACAATCACCAAAAAAAAGCTTATAGTTTTATACAAAATGGCGACGCCTGAGCAACACCAACGGCAACACAATGGCGTCACAAATTTGCTATTAAGTCGCAAATATGAATTTATTTGTTGTCGAAAGAAAAGGAGATCGAGAAATCTTGATGTTTTATGATAATCTGATATCGAAAAATTGAAACTCACTGTATCTACGATTCAGGTATCGTGATAAACCTGCCTGAGTGACTCCAAGCACTACATCGTTGAGCGTCTACAACATCAATATTAGAGTATCATCAGTTAAACCGACAAAAAATATGATAATTCTATCTCAAACATGAATTAACTTACCACATTCATGGCATTCCGCACCACCTTAATGTCGGCTAAGTTTACGCTCTTGCGAACAAAACGCCTTGGTCTATTCTCGACGCCGATGGAGCCTTTTAATGGCGTTTTGGTGTCTTTAAGAAACAACACCGTCAACACGAACATCACAACCGCAACAATGGAGTTCCATAACACTTCTAAAACCGACCAAACCCTAGTGAATTTGATGTATCCGGAGTTTTTAGTGATTGGAAGCGTCGGCAAAGCGTCAGGATCCGATGACTTGCGTGTACAAGCAAGCAAAAGTGTCATCAAAGACAAGCCGTCGCCTAAGGAATGGTGGAACCGGAAAACTCCCGTCCCTTCATCATCATTCGTCTTGATGTCGAGAAGGTGGAGATCCCATAAGGGTTTCGAGTTCTCGATGGGAGATTTGCTGAGGTTTGAGATGTAGTCGTCGACAAATTTTTCTGGAAAAGCGATGTTTGGATCCAGCTCGGGGACTATAACATGGTTGTCTATGTTCACGTTTGTCGGAACCCATCGAATACCCCTGGTTTCTTCGTCCACGACCTGAAATACCGATACGTATGCAAGAGTTTAGAATGGAAAGAAACTAAAAAATGCAGACTACAACAAAATTGGGTTTACAGGAAGCCTAAAATGCCTAAATGTCCTAGTATGCCTTAACTTTATAGAACCAAACAATAAAACATCTTATCTAAAAGTGGTACAATAGGTTTATAAGATACTTTTGGACATTATAACAAGTTTTTTAAGACATATTTAAAATAAAATATTGTATCAGCTATTTAATAGGTACACTATTTGGAAAAATGTCCCGATAAACACAAGTATCTTATCTTATAAAAAGAAAGGGTTTATAGGACATTTTCAAAAGTCACTACAACAAAATCGGATTTATAAGACACTCTCAAATTCTAAGTGTCCTAATATACCTTTTTATAGGACCAAAAAAATAAAGTGTCCTATCTAAATGTGTTGTAATAAGTTTATATGACGTTTTTGGGCGTCTTAACAAGTTTTTTAGGACATTTTTAATACAAAGTTTCGCATTAGCAACTTTATAGGACACTTTTGAGAAAGTGTCCTATAAACTCATTTTTTATAGGACACTTGTTGTTATAGGACAAATTTTCAAATAGTATCCTATAAAGTTGATAATAGGACACTCTATATTAAAAGTGTCATAAAAACTTACTACGACGTCAAAAAACGTCATATAAACTTATTACCACACTTTTAGATAAGACACTTTATTTTTTGGTTCTATAAACTAAGTCCTATAAAGAGGTCTATTAGGACACTTAGAATTTGAGAGTGTCCTATAAACCCGATGTTGTTGTAGCGAGTATTCAAAAAAACTGGTTAAAATGTCCACAAACGTTCTGTAAACGTATAGTAATACTTTTAGATACGGCGTCTTATTGTTTAATTCTATAAACTCAAGTCCTATAAAGTTTTCTATTAGATCACTCAGATATTTTAGGCATTCTATAAACTCAATTTTGTTGCAGTGAAAGGTCTGCTGTCGCAATAACTTAGCGACATAATTAGGTCCATTTATCTCCAAATCAACTTAAAATCATGATGAAAGTTAATTAATAGCAGCCAATCACTAAAAAGTTTCATATCAACTTAAAGCCATGATGAAAATTATTAACGGTGGATCACTAAAAAGTTACAAGTCACGTCAAAATCAGTTTAAAACCATGATAAAAGTTTTAGTGGCCAATTATCTGCAAATCAACTTAAAACCATGATGAAAGTTCTCAGCGTTCAATCATTAAAAACTTTTAATTCAACTTAAAACCATGATAGAAGTTATCTACAGTAAAAAATACTTGTAAATCATGGTATCATTAACCTGTAAGCTTGAGAATCGAGGATGACGAACGAGTGAATGAAGAAGATTTTGTTTGACGACATGAGGGTCGATCTTGGTCTTGCAACCGAGCATGGAAATGATATAGACATTGGACCCTGGCTCATGGAACAAGCGAGCCATGGGACTCAATTGCTCATCTTCTTCCTTCAACCTTCCACCATTTTTTGTGATGGTTTTGATTTGGTTAAGATCTGGTAAGGAATCCATAAATATATGCATTCAAGTTTGATTCATTCATATATGAATATGACTCCAATTCCTTTATATACATCAACCACCATTCCCATATCTGTTTTGCTTTATCTTGTTCCATCATCAATACTTTCTATAAATACATATACATACATACATATTAATATCCACCATATACTTTTTTGATATTAAGACAGAAAATTGCAATGAATAAGCAACTTATATATATTTTGAGCTTAGGTGCTGTTTGGCAATTGTTGAATGGTTTGGTGCAGAATGATTAAGAGGCATTCATGATATAATGCAAAATGAAATATAATTGTTTGGTAATTATGTACAATGAAATTAGGGCTATTAATGGTTAAGGGAGATCCAAAATACAAAATTATTCAGAGAGTTTTAGTACATTAAGAGGCATACTTTTTTTTTGCCAAACAAGATTCACCTCTTAACGGTTCAGAGGTTACATCTTAATGGAACTATTAAGAAGTAAACAAACAACCCTTTATTCAAATATAATTAAGTCATTTATGTTTTCAAAATGATCATTAACGTTCAAAAAGCAGCCTCTATACCGATTAAAGATGACATTAACGATAACGGGCTGAGAGGTTTTTAATGTCGAAGGCAGAAACACTAAAAAACGGCCTAATTGAAAAACACTAATTTTTTTGCGGTTGTAATAATATTGAACATAACCATATCCAATTATTTGCACTATTTCTTACACCAAAATAATGTAAACATATAATTTATCATCAATTAATTACATCACTTTAATACGAATAAAATACTTCAGAGTATATTTCTGATTCGACCCATAATTTTTTTTAATGAATTGATTTTTTTAATATATTTTAATGTTAAGTAATATTTGTTATTGAAAAATATTACTTGACCTAAAAAACCACAAATTAAATTAAAGGGTTTTATAAAACATTTTAAATAGATAAGGATAACTTTATATATATATATATATATATATATATTAATTATCAAATACAAAAAGCTTTTGAGAGGTCGATTACATTGGGGAGAATTTTTGAAGATTAGTTTTTGGGATTGGACGTTTGAGATTGCTTATTTAAAACAATTTATATTTTTCTATAAAAATGTTTATCAAATTATGTGGTAGTAAAACGGTGAGTATTTGGATTATCTTATGATGGTACCACAATGGATGACATATAAAATAAATAAGGTGCCCTTTTTTTCCATCCAAAAATTAAAAACTTCTTATCACTAGTACCATACCGGAATAAGTTAATAAGTTAGAAGATAATAACTTATCAAACATTCTTTATTACCGGTGCCAAATCGGTATAAGTATTTCATTTTTATCCATCCATACATGAAAAACTCTTTATTACCGGTAGCATAACTGAATAAGTTTATAAACACTTTAAATAAGCAATCCCAAACACCCCCTAGATAGAATTAGTGGAAATCTGACGTGACAAAAATTTAAAGTCATTGAATGACTTATGAATTATGGATGTTCTCAAGGAGAAATGCGAAATGACTCGGTAGAGAAGAAAAATCTGACTTGAAATGACAAAAAAACTGATAATGATGAGACATATTACAATTATTTATTTAATTTACTTTATATCTTTTTTTTTTTCATTTTCCATTTCACATCTTTATTATATTAACATACATAATTGTATATTCATTAAAATATATCAAAAAAATATTTTTTATTTTTACATATTACATCATTATAAACTTCTCGTCAATTTTAAAATAAGCCCAAGGCTGTAAAGTGAATTAATTTTAATACTTACATTTTATATCCTTATAATTAATTATTTAATTACTTGATATCCCTTACTTTTTCATTTTTCATTTTACATCTTCATTATATTAATATACATAATTATATATTAAATAACATACATCAAAAATACATTTCTTCTTTTTTACAGATTACACCATTATGACTTCTCGTCAATATCTTTAGATGAGCCTAAATATGTTAAAAGGGTTGGGTTCACGTGAGACCAGTATGTTTTCGTGAGACCCGTGAGACCATATTTTTACACGTAAACTTCACAGCAAAAACATTGTGAAGGTTTAAAAAAATCGAACCTTCACAGCAAAAACACTGTGAAGGTTAAAAAAAGTCACCTTCACAGCATTTTGCTGTGAAGTTTCAAGTGTAAAAAGCTGGTCTCATGAAAACAGGCTGGTCTCACATGATCTCAAGTCTATGTTAAAAATCATGTAACTTAGAGGTACATTAGTCTTTTTCCATTTATTTTTCTTTTTTAGTTTTATTAAATATATTTTTTGGTTTCTCTTTTTTATATTTTAGTTTTTTGATTTATTTTTCTTTCTTGGTTTATTAAATATATTTTTTGGTTTTTATTTTTTGTATTCTAGTCTTTTTGATATAATAAAACTTTTTTTTTGTGATAAAAAGTTAAAAAATATATTATTTTATTATTGTTTCAGATAAAATAATCAAATATTTTTAAAACAATCAGTGTTTTTTTTAATATTTTTGGTTATTATAATTTTAGTTTTCTATGAGTGTGATATTTGCAGCTACAATCAATTAAATGCAAGTCGTTGAGTACCCCCTCACATAAAAGTATTTTAATTTTTTTTTCTTCACTAGATAACAAAGTATTATATTTTTCATAAGAATAAACAATTAGCTTTTTAGACTTTTTTTACCAAACAATTGTATGTAATTTATTAATAAGATGTATAATTTTTTGGTCTCATAAGTCATTCAGTTATACAAAAAAATGTATTTCTTATATAAATATGTTATAAAAGTTTAAAATAGTATTTTAGACGTCTTTTAGAACATTTTTAAAATAAATTATCCAATTAACTTTTTTATATGACATATTTTTTTAAATATAGATAAAAAAACAAATCAACAACTTGTACTTGAATGATGTTAATGACATAAATCGAACTAATAAGAAAGTAAAATTATAATAAGAAAAAAATTGTATGAAAAAGATTTAATCATTTTATTATAAATAATATATTTTTTAATGTATTAAATCTTTTATATAAAATATTATTAAATAAAAAAAACAAAAATACTAAAATGGAAGCCAAAAAGTATATTTAATAACCAAAAAGGAAAAGAAACAAAAAGACTAAAATACCCATAGGTTAAATGGATAATTTTTAATAGATTCAGTTTTCTAGATAAAAACAATAATAAATTACAAATCATACGGACGAAAACAACAATGAATTACAAACCATAGAGACGGAAATTGCAATTTCAAAACCACAGGGTTAAAAATTGTAATCTTCCACAAACTATAGGGACGTAAATTGTAGTTTACTTTTATTTAATTTGTAATTATAAGGGCATAAATTTTGTTGTTTTTTATATTAATATTTGAAGTATAGTGATCACATATTTAGATGTAGTTGGTTAAAAGGAAGATGGAGGATTTCATGTTATTCCTATATATGGGTTTTGACACCATCACATAATTTTCATTTCTTGCATTATTTTATGCAAAGCAACAAGTTTGTTTCAAATACCTTTCAACCAATCACTTTTGGGTCACCATTATATATACATACACCAAAAGTTTTACAACATAGAAACCAACCATGATTATGTTTTTTAAATAGAGAAAATATATTAAAATAAAAGAAAGGAAAATATTGACTCTTATTGTAAAATGCAGTAGTAGAAATATACAGATATCAGACGACGACTAACAACAGACTGAACAAAGAGTATATAATTATGTATCGCATCTGTTTGATGCGAGAAGGGTGTTTGTCGCATTCTTGAGATGCGACAAGTTGGGTTATCGTATTCTAGTGATGCAACAAAGAGTATTTATCGCATCTGTTTGATGCGAGGAAATGAGGTTGTATCATCCTTGTGATGTGAGAAAATTATGATTTTATCTATATGACGTGACAAGTTCATGAGTTATGTTATAAATGGTTTATTTGGTTGTTTGAAGCGATATATGGGTGTTGTTCCATCTTCTTGTTGCAACAAAAGGGGATTATTTTGATAAATCATTACTTATTTGTTATTAATACAAATATGGGTTTATAAAAGTGTTTTGGTGATTTTCACCCTATAATTGTAATCGAAGAGATTTCTCACTATACCTCATGGTCTAACCCTCATTTTGGTGTTTAAAATGTGCATTACAAGTCGGACTCAACCGGAGAAAAAGGGGAAGGGAAAATTATAGAGGATTCATGATTGCTTGCATATATGGATTTTTGGAATATGTGATGCTATTTATACCTGAATACTTGTTATATATACAAGTTTTTGTACCAAGTATTTATAAAAAATAAGTTGTAGCTACTTTTGTAATGTAGCCGTTTTGTATGTATTGAGACCAAATGTGTAAATTTGTATTTCATGTAAATGAAATATGTGGTTATATGTAAATGTGAATTTGGGGTGTTACAAGTTTGGTATCAGAACCTGAGTTTAAGAGATTTAGGTATTCAACATGATGCCTAGACTTAAGTTGTATTATTTGCATATTAAGGGTCCCTAACATTTGTAGAACCTTTGGAATAAATATGATGAGTTAAAAGAACAATATATAAGGTAAATTCAAATTACAATTGACCAATGTAATCATGGGTTTATAGGTACATATTTGTGCTTGTATACTGTTAGTCCCGAAGGGAATGACAATAAACAGAAAGTAATTGTAGAAGGGGGGTTGAATACAATTACACAAACTTTTTCAACTTTTTAATTCTTATTGATTAATATCAAGAATTAATAAACACAAAAATACGTAAGATTGTTGCGGAAGATAGGAAAGGAAAACCTAACCTAAACAATCTTACAAAGAGAAGAACTTTCAAGAACAATATAAAGAGTTCTTGAAATGAAATGAAGAACACTAAGAATTTCTTCGCACACAGGAGAGCAAGGGAGAAGAAGAGAATAGTCGATTGCTTTGAGAATTCACTCAGTATTCTTTCAAAAGCCAGTTATATGCATGGGAGATGCATACTGCCTTTTTATACTACCTTCAGCATTT